CAGCTCCTGCTGCCAGTGCCCTGTCAGGTGCTGAAGTGGTCTTAATTCTTAATATTACAACATTTTTTCCTTTCTGCAAACATATTGTAAAATTTTCAAACCTATTTAAGTATTGAAAGAAGTTTAAAGTTACCACCTATATGCCTACCACCTAGATTTTCAGCATTGTTATTAGACTAGTTCTACTGGTTAACTAAGCATTTATTCATTTATCTGTTCATAAATTATTCTTTTTTTGTTTTTTATTTTGGTACATTTCAGAGTAAGTTGCAGGCATCAGTACCATGCCTCTAAATAATTCTGCAATTATATGAGTAACTAGAATTCTACTAATAGCCTTTGAGTTACTTTGTTTGCTTAATAAGGAGACATATTATTTATAAGTAATTTTGTCTAGTTATACAGTGGGGTGAAAGTGGACTTTGGGATAAAACAAACCTGGTTTTCCATCCTGATTTTGCGTCTTTCTTATGTGATTTTCATGACCTGTTCTTGTTTCCTTGTTAGCAAAAAGAGAAGTTTAAAATATCTTCCTCAAGGTTATCTTTTGTAAAATGTGAATATATAACTCATTTTCTCTTTCTTTTCCTACCTCCTTCTGTCTTTCATTTTTTGTAGTAATGTAAACATTTAAAGGCATGAACTTATGTTACCAACCTCTCAACAATATTCTAATTTTAAATGTAAGATACTGATTTTTTTCTGATTTAAACATATGTATAGTTATGAAAAATTCAGCGAAGAAAGTAAGAATAATAAGAATAACCACTCAGTACACTTTTGCATATATAGAGAGAGAGAAATGGAGTTTTGGATTACCAGGGATACATTTATTGGTAGTTTTTAATATAGAATGTTATATTATTCTAAGTGTTCTGTTACTTAACACTGCTTGACCATCCTATGCTTTAAGATGGTATAGACTTTTTCCATTTAAAATTTTAAATTTATTATTATTTCTTAAATCAGGAGAACTTTCTTGCTGGGCACAGTGGCTCTCTTCTGTAATCCTAGCACTTTGGAAGGCCGAGGCAGGAAAATTGCTTGAGCCCAGGATTTCAAGACACATCTGGGTAGTGAGACCTCATCTCTACAAAAAAAATAATTAGTTGAGCGGTGGAGCATGCCTGTAGTTCCAGCTACTAGGGAGACTGAAGTGGGAGGATTGCTTGAGCCCAGGATGTCGAGACTGCAGTGAGTCAGAATTGTGCCACTGCACTCCAGCCTGGGCAACAGAGTGAGACACTGTCTCAAACAAAAAAAAATTTCCAACAGAACTGAAACTCAAGAAATCAATTTAAATTGTGTAGCCAGCCACTTGAATAAAGACGTATACAGACATATTAGGCAAATACTCATAATTTTTCCCTTCTTTTTTTTTTTCTACGTGAGTTGGAGTCTCACTCTGTCACCTAGGCTGGAGTGCAGTGGCACACTCACGTACACCACAGCCTCAACCTGCTGGTCTCAAGCAATCTTTCCACATCAGCCTTCCAAGTAGCTGGAACCACAGGCATGCACTGTTATGCCCGGCTAATTTTTCTTATTTATTGTAGAGAAGAGGTCTCGCCAAGTTGCCCGGGCTGATCTCAAACCCCTGGACTCAGGCAATCCTTTCACCTCTGCCTCCCAAAGTGCTGGGCTTACAGATTTGAGCTACTGCACCCCGCAATTTGCCCCTTCTTTTATCCTGATTGGCCTAAAGTCATCTTTAATCAGTTTTTCAAACCACACTGCATTGAGTAATGTGTCTAAACCATAATTCTCAACTCTGCCATTGTTATGTCAAAACAGCCAGAGATTAGATGTCATGAAATGGATCTAGCTGTGTTGCCACAGAACTGTTTCCAAACCAGGTGGCCCAAACCCTAGACACTGTTACTGACTGTTTAGACAATCAGTTGGCTTTTCTGCACAAATTTAAGTTTGGACCAATAGAGCTCATGGACCAAATCTAGCCTAGTGCCTATTTTTGTTAATAAGTTTTATTGGGACCCAGCCACACTCATATATCTATTTTTTTTAGCATGTCCATTTTTGAGATATCATGGTAGAGTTGAGTAGTTGTTACAGAAACCATAGACCTCTTTTAACATGGAAATAATTTTAATTTATTTACTTATATTTTATTATTATTTCTCTTTCTCTTCTTGTTCTTCTTCTCCTTCTTCTTCTTCTTTCTCTTCTTCTTCCTCCTCTTCTTTGTCTGAATCTCACTCTGTTGCCCATGCTAGAGTGCAGAGACATGATCATAGCTCACTGCAGCTTTGTTCTCCTGGGCCCAGGTGATCCTTCTGCCTCAAACTTCTGAGTAGCTGGACTACCAGCGCACACCACCACACCTGGCTAATTATTTTGTTTTTTGTAGAGACAAGGTCTCACTATAGTGCCCAGGCTGGTCACAAACACCCAAGCTCAAGCAATCCTCATGGTTTGCCCTCCCAAAGCATTGTGAATTTATAAGTATGAGCCACCACACCTGGCCTAGAAATAGTTCTTTTTTTTTTTTTCCCAAATATTAGCTTTATAACTGACACAATAGATTACAAATCACATACAAACTTCATGTGTCAATGTTATGGTAATTAGTACTTTATACACCTCTATTATACAGATATCTTAAAACACTTCATTCACTATCCTCCTAATTTATGTCACTTTATGTTATATTTTAACATGTTATGTATTAAAACTTTAGGCTTTACTTCTTATCTCACCAGTTTTGTTCATTTTCACTCCTTGTTGCTCCTCTCCTTATACTGGGGACTTCTTTCCTTTGGCTTGAAGAATACTCATTAGCCTTTGCAGTAATACAGGCCTTCTGATGAAAAATGCTTTCCGGTTGGCCTAAAGATGTGTTTGATTCAGTTTTATTCCTCAAGTATATTTTTGCTGAATTTCTTTATAGGTTTATACTGATAAATGTTTTGCAATCTATTAAAACATGTATAGTAATGATAAATAATATAGTGCTTATTATTTGCTGAGGACATTGTTCTCAAAGTATAAAGTGTAAAAAGACTTTTGTAAAGCAGATGGACATACATGGCTTTAATTTTTTTTTAATGTGTGTATCCTAATAGTCTGAATGTCCTCTTTGCTAAAAATTGATCTGCCTGGGTATTCCTCTGCTACTGAGGCATCATGTGATGGTTCCCTTTCCCACATGCTTGCAGGAGTCATAACACTTCAACTTTATAGAAGGAAAGTGCACTTCCCAAGCATTCAGAATGTTATGTTTTACTAGCCCAGGGGTAAAAGCTGCTGAACTAAATACAAGGATGGGTAGATATTTGGGGGCCTGGATTTAAAGTGAATATTCAGCAACAGTGACAACATTCATGCCTAAAGAGAAGGTATCACTCAGAGTAATTTGCTTTTTAGCCCACAGGTACTGAGAACAAGAGAAGTCAAGTGAAGGAAGGAGGCAGAGATTCTACAACTTGGGTATCAATCATTTCTGGAGATATCCTTGATTACAGATTGAGATGTTTTGAACAGAAATTTAGAGCTGATCCAGAAGAGACAAAGACAGAGCATCTCAATTAGTGGCCATTTCTCAAATTTAGGAGAAAATGATGCAGGTGACTTTTGGTTTGTTGTATTCTTCCCTTTATTCTCCAGTGGATTTTTAGAGACTTGTAAAAATCAGTGCAATTAAAAATATAAATAGAAATTAGCAGGATCTAGAGAAATCTGGGTGAAAAGTGGAATCAGGGTTATATTTTTCATAGGATTTATTTGTGTCAGAATGTAATATGTGACTCTGCAGGACCCTGCAGGTCACATTTGCTGCCAACTTGCATCTGATGTCTGACAGCCACATAAAAATATCATGATAAGTTACATCAACTGCCAAAAAAAAGCAGACCAAGTTTCTAACATCTTCAAGTTTCTTGAAGGATGTTAATGTTTCAAGGCATAGAATTCTGAGGTTCACATAGTTCTTCACAGAGGTGATGTAGCAGGTGGTATTCTTAACTACAGTCTTCTCATAAATGAAAAAGTAGGTCACTTACAGCTGTTTTTTTGAGTGGGAGTCTCACTCTGTCATCCAGGTTGGAATGCAGTGTCATGCTCACGGACACTGCAGCCTTGACCTACTGGGCTCAGGCGACTCTTCTGCTTCAGCCATCCAAGTAGCTGGAACTACAGGTGCATGCTACCACATCTGACTAATTTTTTGATTTATTATAGAGAGGAGGTCTCACCAAGTTGTGCAGGCTTGAACCCCTGGGCTCAGGCAATCTACTTACTTCGGCCTCCCAAAGTGCTGGGATTATAGGCTTGAGCCACCACGCCCAGCCACTACATGATATATTTAATATGTTATTAACCTTGTCTAATAATATGTACATACATATGCATTTGTCTGTATACATATGTGAGCTTGCATCTATAGTCTTTTAAGAATTTTTTTCCAAATTTTCCATCTAATTATCTTTTATGCATTTTTTTGAATTTTTTATGAATTTTTTTCCAAATTTTCCATCTAATTATCTTTTATGCATTATACTTGTTTTATGCATTATACTTGTTTTATAGTTTTTTTCCTCTGTTCAGTACATTAAGCATAGTTATTTAGTATGTATTATCTTATGATACTAGCATCAGTGGTCTCTTCATTACTTGTTTTGGCATTGGCACAAAGGCTCATGGTGAATGTATGAATCTGTTTTATTCACCTACTTAAAAACTATCATATACATATAACTAGTTTGATATAGGCAATAGATGCTGTATATTGCAGATGTTCTTACATTAGCAAGAGAATTTAATGACTACATGTTACAGAAACTTCTTTAAATTTTCAAATTTGTTGAATGAATGGATGACTGCACAAACACACACACAAAAAATCCAGAATATTTAACTAGCATTCTTAGTCTATAAGATTACATTTTAGAAAAAACCCCAGTTTTCTACATGGTGAAAATCAGCAAAATAACTTCCTTTACTTTCTTTCCATATCACCAGAAGAATTTCACTTCATTAAACAGGACTGTATTATTACAGGGATCCCTGACATTTGACGATGTGCTTTTGGATTTCACCTGGGAGGAGTGGCAGCTTCTGGGCCCAGATCAGAAGGACCTATACCGGGATGTGATGTTGGAGAACTATAGCAACCTGGTGTCACTGGGTAAGGACAGATACCCTTTGTCACTTAGAGGGTATCCAGTCAGCAGCTTTCCTTTCTCAGCTGCTTAAGTCTTTAGAATACCTGCGATACTTTGAAATGGTAGATTCTCAGATCCTTCTCTTACCCCATGGAAGAGGCTATAACCTACCCTCTCCTGAGAGAAAAGCCGTGACATTACAAATGTGAAACTGTTTAGTTCTTTCTTTTTTCATTTTTTTTTTTTTTTTTGTCAGAGTATCACTCTGTCACTTAGCCTGAGTGCAGTGGCATGCTCACAGCTAACCTCAGCCTCAAACTCCTGGGCTCAGGTGATCCTCCCACCTTAGAGTCCGAGCAGCTGGGACTACAGGCCTACAACACCATGCTTGGCTTTTTTTTTTTTTTTTTGCTATGTTGCCCAGGCTAGTCTGAAACTCTTAGCCTCATGTGATCCTCCCACCTTGGTCTCCCAAAGTTCTGGGATTACAAGTATGAGCCACTGTGTTTAGTTCTTAAAATGTCACATTTTTGGCTGGGTACAGTGGTTGGTTCACACCCATAATAAAGCACTTTGGGAGGCCAAGGAGAGGATTATCTGAGCCCAGGGGTTCAAGATCAACCCGGGTAACCTGGCGAGACCTCACTTCTACAATAAATAAAAAAAAATGTACCAAGCGTCATCGTGCATGCCTGTGATTCCAACTACTTGGAAGGTTGAGGCGGAAGGATCGCCTGAGCCCAGCAGGTCAAGGTTACGATGGCCATGAGTGTGCCACTGCACTCCAGCCTGGGCAATGGAGTGATACTCCTACTCAAAAAAAAGTCACAGTTTTTGTTCTTGACATACCCCAGCCCAAATCTATATGTCTAAGTCTTCTATCATTTCCCTCGAATAGGATGCCAAGCCAGCAAATCAGATGCACTCTCCATGTTGGAACGAGAAGAAACTTGGACAACAGAAGATGAAATCCGCAGTCAAGTCTGTGCAGGTGAGTGAGAAAACCAGCAAAATGGGCAGACACAGAAGTCATGTTCTGCTCACTTAGAGCAGGGATCAAAGCAGTAAGTGTCTGAGGACACAATAGCAGCCTCTCCTTATACCTTCTTTTCTTTGTTTTGTTTGTTTGTTTTTGAGTCAGAGTCTCATTCTGTCACCCAGGCTGAAGAACAGTGGTAAGTTCACGGCCACCACAGCCTCGACCTGCTGGGCTCAGGTGATCTTTCTCTCTGAACCTTCCAAGTAGCTAGAAGCACAGGCGTGTACCATCATGCCTGGCTAATTTTTTGATTTATTGTCGAGACGAGGTCTCACCAAGTTGCCCAGGCTGGTTCGGAATCCCTGGGCTCAGACAATCCTCTTGCTTCCACCTTCCAAAGTACTGGGATTATAGGCTTGAGCCACCATGCCCGACTGTTCCTTCTTTTCATGGAAGAGCTCTTTTTCTTTGTAGGAATATAGAGGAAGGTACATTCCTTTTTTTTTCCTGAGACCTCATCCTTATTTATTTATATACATCTTGCTTTTGTTTCTTCTGAGATTTTCTTGGCCAGGCTCGGTGGCTCAGCCTATAATCCCAGCACTTTGGGAGGCCGAGGCAATTGGATTGCCTGAGCCCACAGGTTCAAGACCCGCCTGGGCAACTTGATGAGACCTCATCTCTATAATAAATCAAAAATTAACCAGGTGTGGTAGCACATGCCTGTAGTTCTGGCTACTTGGAAGGCTGAGGTAGAAGGATCGCCGGAGCCCAGCAGGTCGAGGCTGCAGTGGCCAGGAGCATGCCACTGCACTCCAGTCCGAGCAACAGAGTGAGACTCCAACTCAAAAAAAAAAAAAAAATGATTTTCCACCTCAACCTCAACCTTCCAAGTAGCTGGAACTACAGGTGCATCCTACCTCTTCTAAGATTTTCAAGTCTTCCTTTTCTTCATCTATTGCCACAGTGTCTCTGCTTGTGTACTCTCTTGCTATGAAATTTCACTTTCAGCTAGGCATGGTGGCTCACTTCTATAATGCCAGCACCTTGGGAGGCAGAGGCGAGAGGATTGCCTGAGCTCAGGGATTTGAAATCAGCCTGAGCAGCATGATGAGGTCTCATCTCTACAATAAATCAAAAAAATATTTAGCCGGACATGTGGTATGGGCTGTAGTTCCAGCTAGTTGGAAGGCTGAGATGGAAGGATCGCCTGAGCCCAGCAGGTCGAGGCTGCAGTGGCCATGATCATGTCACTGCACTCCAGCCAGGGCAACAGAGTGAGACTCCAACTCAAAAAAAAAAAGCCCTTTATGAAAATAAGAAATATGTTTGTGTATCCCAAACATGAACATAGGGACTTACACATAGATGTCATTCAACAAATATTTGTAGAATAAATCAGTGCAGATTTGAGATCAACCTATGTGATCTAATATTTCTCCAGTTTCTGAGGTTTTTCTCCAGTTTCTATGGTTTGGTATCCTGCCAAATTCTGATGCTTTCTGCTAAAAGTGATTGTTTACATTTGACTATATTTTTTTGTAAAAACCAATTTGAAAGTAGTCAGATCTATATACTTTGTGAATTATCTAGCCTTGTTTATACACTTAACTGCTTTTACTTTTTGGTGTGTTTATATTATTGTTTTTTGCCAGTGTGTAAGAGATAAGGGATATCTATCTATTTATTTTTATTTAATTATTTTTGAGTCATAGTCTTACTCTGTCACCCAAACTGGAGTGAAGTGGCATGCTCACGGCCATGGCAGCCTCGACCAGCAGGGCTCAGGCAATCCTTCCACCTCAGCCTTCCAAGTAGTTGGAACCACAGGTGCATGCCACCACTCACAGCTACTTTTTTATTTATTTATTGTAGAGACAAGTCTCTCCAAGTTGCATGGGCTGGTCTCAAACCCCTGGACTCAGACAATAAAGATGAAGGATATTTATATGTGAAATTTTCTTTATGCTGAAATAGGGTTGTCATTAAAGAGTCATCTCACACCAAGGCATTTTTTTTAAATAGATGAAGCCAAAGCAAGATGATGGAATGATTCACTGTTTTTTTCTTTCCTAGAAATCAGGAAAATTGGTGATCCTCTGCATTATTACTTGCAAAATCAAAGTATTTGGAAGAGTGTGGGACAATTCCATGAACATGTTTTAGAAAATAACACTAATCAGAACAAAGGTCATTTCCAGCTAAAGCAAACTTGTGATGTGTTTCACTCACATGAAAAACCTCTAAAATCAAATTTAGGTTTTGAAAACCAGAGCAAGAGCTGGGGTCGAAAGAACTCTGTTGAATTTAAAGGAAATGAGAAACCCCTTCTTCACGTGAATGATGAACAATTTTATACCAAAAGTAAATCCCCTGCAATTGTAAAACCTGTCAACAATCAGTCCCAGCTTATTAAGCAGCAGAAACCTCACAACCCAGAGAAGGCCTATGTATGCAGTGAGTATGGGAAAGTCTTCCCCAAGTTTTCTCAGTTCGTTAATCATCAGAGAGTACATACTGGAGAAAAACGTCATGGATGCAGCATGTGTGGAAAATCCCAGCTAATGGAACACCAGAGAATTCATACAGGACTGAAACGTTATGAATGCACTGAATGTGACAGAACCTTTCTCAAGAAATCACAGTTCAATGTACACCAGAAAACTCATATGGGAGAGAAGCCTTATACATGTAATCAATGTGGAAAAGCCTTCATCAAAAAGTGTCGACTCATTTATCATCAGCAGACTCATGCAGAAGAGAAATTGTATACGTGCAGTGAATGTGGTAAAGGCTTTTCAATGAAGCACTGCCTCATCGTACATCAGCGAACTCATACTGGAGAGAAACCCTATGTATGCAATGAGTGTGGGAAAGGTTTCACCTTGAAGAGCCCTCTCATCAGACATCAGCGAACACATACAGGAGAGAAACCCTATGTATGCACTGAATGTCAGAAAGGCTTTACCACAAAAAGTGACCTTATTGTACATCAGCGAACTCATACTGCAGAGAAGCCATATATATGCAATGATTGTGGAAAAGGCTTCACTGTGAAGAGCCGCCTGATTGTACATCAGCGAACTCACACTGGAGAGAAGCCCTACATATGCAGTGAATGTGGAAAAGGTTTCACTGAGAAGAGTCATCTCAATGTACATCAACGCACTCATACAGGAGAGAAACCCTATGTATGCAATGAGTGTGGGAAAGGTTTCACCTTGAAGAGCCCTCTCATCAGACATCAGCGAACACATACAGGAGAGAAACCCTATGTATGCACTGAATGTCAGAAAGGCTTTACTACGAAGAGTGACCTTATTGTACATCAGCGAACTCATACTGCAGAGAAGCCATATATATGCAATGATTGTGGAAAAGGCTTCACTGTGAAGAGCTACCTGATTGTACATCAGCGAACTCACACTGGAGAGAAGCCCTACATATGCAGTGAATGTGGAAAAGGTTTCACTGAGAAGAGTCATCTCAATGTACATCGACGCACTCATACAGGAGAGAAACCCTATATATGCAGTGAATGTGGCAAAGGCTTAACTGGGAAAAGCATGCTCATTGCACATCAGCGAACTCATGCTGGGCAGAAACCCTATATATGCAATGAGTGTGGAAAAGGCTTCACTGTGAAGAGCCGCCTGATTGTACATCAGCAAACTCACACCGGAGAGAAGCCCTACATATGCAGTGAATGTGGAAAAGGCTTTCCAGCAAAGATCCAGCTAATGGGTCATCAAAGAAATCACACAGGAGAGAAACCTTATATATGCAGTGAATGTGGAAAAGGTTTCACTGAGAAGAGTCATCTCAATGTACATCGACGCACTCATACAGGAGAGAAACCCTATATATGCAGTGAATGTGGCAAAGGCTTAACTAGGAAAAGCACGCTCATTGCACATCAGCGAACTCATACTGGGGAGAAACCCTATATATGCAATGAGTGTGGGAAAGGTTTCACCTTGAAGAGCCCTCTCATCAGACATCAGCGAACACATACAGGAGAGAAACCCTATGTATGCACTGAATGTCAGAAAGGCTTTACCACGAAGAGTGACCTTATTGTACATCAGCGAACTCATACTGCAGAGAAGCCATATATATGCAATGATTGTGGAAAAGGCTTCACTGTGAAGAGCCGCCTGATTGTGCATCGGCGAACTCACACTGGAGAGAAGCCCTACATATGCAGTGAATGTGGAAAAGGTTTCACTGAGAAGAGTCATCTCAATGTACATCGACGCACTCATACAGGAGGGAAACCCTAGATATGCAGTGAATGTGGCAAAGGCTTAACAGGGAAAAGCATGCTCATTGCACATCAGCAATGAATATGGAAAGGGCTTCACCATGAAGAGTACTCTAGGTATACATCAGCAAACTCATACTGGAGAAAAAACATACAAATGCAATGAGGGTGATAAGACCTTCAGGAAGAAGACATGCCTCATACAACATCACAGATTTCACACAGGAAAGACGTCCTTTGATGTACTGAAAGTGTGGAAAATTCTCTGCGCAAAAATGATCTCATTACACATCAGAGAATTCACACAGGAGAGAAATCTTAAGCATGTGGTGAATGTGGGAAGGCCTTCACTACGAAGTCAGGGCTCAATGTTCATCAAAGTAAACATACAGGAGAGAAGCCCTATGGATGTAGTGATTGTGGGAAAACTTTTGCCCACTTGTCTATCCCTGTTAAACACAAGCGAATTCACAGGTAGTCGTTTGGGGAAAGCCTCTTGCCAGTTATAGACCTTCAAGATATTATAGTACCTGCAAAGAATAACTTAATGAATGCACAGTATGTGGTTGTGTATTTAGTGATCAATTACCTCATGCTTTATGTCAAAGAAAACATGTACAAAACAATATATCTAAAAATTATATAATGAGAGAAATTATATAAATGTGGCAGACTAGGAAAGCTTTCGGTGAGAAGATAGACTCTGTCATAAGTGATCATCATAAGATAGACTCTGTCATAAGTGATTATGAATGAACTAATTGTTAGAAATGTAATAACTACAGGAAAGCCTTTGCCCTGAAATAAGACCTCAATAAATTGAGAGAGTTTATACTAGAGAAATACTTTCCTATGACAATGAATATGGCAGGGTTTGCAGTAAGGTTTGTTTTTGGGTTTTAGTTTTCTTTCTTTCTTTTTTTTTTTTTTGTTGGAGTCTCACTCTGTTGCCCAGGTTGGAGGACAGTGGCATGCTCATGGGCACTCCAGCGTCGACCTGCTGGGCTCTGGCAATCCTACAGTGAGATATTTTAACTCATCATTTGCAAGGAAGTAATGCAGAAAAAACTTACAAACACATTCAGTGTATAAGAGTGTTAGCAAAATATCAGAGATCTTAAGGAAAGAGACGTTCACAAAATGACAGATGAAAGCCTTTTGTCACAAGTATAACCTTCATGGATGATACACCTCATGTGCCTTTGGGAACAGGATATATTGAGCCACATTTTTAGTTACCTTGTCACCGATTTTACACATTTTAAATTGTGACTCCCTCTCATAATGGATTACATTTTAGTATTCTATACAATACAGGAGTATTCTATGCCTCATTTTATTATATAATTAACTTTCACATTTCTAAGTTTTATTTGTGTTATTTCAGAATACTTGAAGTACTTTCAAATGAAACAGTACAGTGCATTTAATTCATAAATGTAATTGAACATATTTGTGTTTAAGTTTATAAGTAGCATCAAGTGTTATGAAATTAATATTAATATGTTTTTTAAGTTTTTTATTTTGAAATAAATTTAGATTCACAAAATCTTATTGAAATTTCCAGAGTTCCTGAATGCCCTTAATCCAGCTGCTTCCAAAGATAACACCTTACCTAAATAACCATACATTATCAAATACAGGAAAGTTGAATTGTTACTGTACTGTTTAAACTACAGAATTTACTTGGATCTCATCAGTTTTAATATGCATACATTTTTGTTTGGTTTGTATATTTAGTTTTAAGAAATCCTATCCTGTATTGGTTTATGTAACCACCTTCACAATCAACATTCAGAATGTTGCATCAACACAAACTCCTTCGTGCTACTTTTTTTTTTTTAGTCGCAACCCTTCCCTTACTCTAACCCTTGATGATCAAGAGATTATTTTTTAAATTTCTGTTTAATTTTTTTCTTCTCCCTCTTCTATGGAACAGAAATTTGTTCATCTTTAGCCTTTTCATTAACAGAATGTTATAAAAATTAAATCATATGGCTTGTACCCTTTTGATATTGGCTATTTGACCTTAAGGAAATTTTTTTTAGTCATTCTCACTCTGTTGCCCAGACTGGAGTACAGTGGCACTCTCACAGCCACAGGCATGCACCACCACACCCAGCTACTTTTTTAGTTTATTGTAGAGATGAGGTCTTGCTATGTTGCTCAGGCTGGTCTCAAACCCCTGAGCTCAGACAGTCCTCCAAAGTTCTGGGATTACAGGCATGAACCAGCACACCTGGCCGACCTTAAGCAATTTAACCTAAGATCTGGCCAAGATGTTCTGTGTATCAATCGATGTTTTATTTTTATTGGTGAATAGTAATCTATAACATGTATATACCACAGTTGTTCATCTCTTCACCCACTGGAGAACATTAGGGTTGTTTCCAGTTTTTGTTTTGTCTTTTTACTGTTACAAATAAAGATGCTGTGAACATTCATGTACAATGGCTTTGTGTGAGTGTGATTTTTCATTTCTCTAGGATAATTACTGAAGAGAACAATTAGTGGCTCATAAGGTAAATGGATCCAAGAAGGAGTGAAATATGTTCCTGATATCCAGAATCTTGCAATACAGTATGCAAGTCATACAAGAAAGTAAGCAGCCATCAAACAATGCACTGTCATTAACAATACAGAATATGGAAGAATGAAGCCATGAAGATGTTCAGAAGTAGCAGAGGGAGAGAAGGGAAGGTTTTGGGGTGTTAAAAATTCATAGGTGAGTGGATTGCCTGAGCCCGTGGGTTTGAGACCCGCCTGGGCAACTTGGCAAGACCTCATCACCACAATAAATCAAAAAATTAGCCGGGCATGGTAGGGCACACCTGTAGTTCCAGCTACTCGGAAGTCTGAGGCGGAAGGATCGCCGGAGCCCAGCAGGCGAGGCTGTGCGGTGGTCAGGTGCAGCCACTTCCCTCCAGTCTGAGTGACAGAGTGAGACTCCAACTCAAAAAAAAAAAGAAAGTGTGGTTGCTGCCTGTATAAGTGTGGGCTTGTGCATGCTATCTGGGAGACCATATCTAAGGCTCAAAAAAAAAAAAAAGAAAAGAAAAGAAATCCATGGCTGAGTTTCAAAGAAAACAGGAGATAATTAGAACACCACCACCAAAACCCAAATTCAATCTATTGAAAATTGATCAAATTAAGAATATACAAATCTTTGATATCTGTTTATGGTTCCAAATCTAAGAGATAACCAAAATTATTTGTTGTATCTTACATCCCTTGAAAATTTTGAATTATGTGTTTATAATTTTTTCATTATAGATTTATACTAAGCACATTCTTTCGCAGATTGCTCTGATTTTCTATTCATCAATATCATACTCCATATACATGGAAATTCTCTATTTTGAGTGTGCATACTGTTTTTGTGAAGTCATGATTTATATAATCACTGGTGTACATTCATATCTGTATCAGCATTTGCTGATTATAAATCTTACAAGACTAACAACACGACGACTAAAGATAACCAACATTTACTAATCCTATCAGTTGTGCAGGTTGAGGGGTCAATTACATGGTCTGAGCTGGCTTGATCAGGACTGAATGGCCTAGATGGCTTCAACCACACATCTAGGACCCAACAGAAATGAATAGGGCCATTATTCACATAATCTATTATCACATTTAGCACAGCGTCACTAAAGGTCTCTTGCAAGGAGGAGGGCAAAACACGGGTGCCCCCAAGGATATTTGCCTTTCTTCCCATGTGGCTGAGCTGTTATAGTCACTTCCATCAGAAATGACATAAGGAGACAATATTTGCAAACTACACATCCAACAAAAGCCTAATATCCAGAATCTCTAAGGAACTCAAACGAATAAACAGGAAAAACACAAATAACTCCACTAAAAATTAGGCTAAGGACATGGACAGATACTTCTCAAAGGAAAACATACAAGTGGCCAACAAACATGATAAAATGACCATCACCAATCATCAGAGAAATACAAATCAAAATTACAATGAGATGTCATCTTACACCCAGCAGAATGGCTATTTTTATTAATGTCAAAACAACCGAGACAGCTGAGAAAAGGGAATGCTGGGCTGGGCATGGTGACTCAAGCCTGTAATTCCAGCACTTTGGGAGGCCGAGATGAGAGGACTGCCTGAGTCCAGGGGTTTGAGACCAGCGCGGGCAACTTGGTGAGATCACATCTCTAGAATAAGTCAAAAAATTAGCCAGGCATGGTGGTGCACACTTGTAGTTCCAGCTACATGGAAGGCTGAGGCGGAAGGATCACCAGAACCCAGCAGGTTGAGGCTGCAGTGGCTGTGAGCTTGTCACTGCACTCCAGCCTGAGTGACAGAGTGAGACTCTGACTCAAAAAAGAAAAAAAAAAAGAAAAGGGAACACTCATGTACTGTTAAGAATGTAAGCTGATTCAACCCCTGTGGAAAGCAGTTTGGAAATTCCTCAAAAAACTAAAAACAGATCTACTATTGATCCAGCAATCCCACTACTGGGTAAGTACTCAAAGGAGCATAAATCATTCTACCAAAAAGACACCTGCACTCCTATGTTGATCATAGCACTATTCACGACAGCAAAACATAGAAACAACCCAGGTGTCCATCAATGGTAGACTGTATAAAGAAAATGTGGTACACATACACCATGGAATACTACGCAGCCATAAAAAAGAACAAAATCATGTCATTTGCAACAACATGGATGCAGCTAGAGGCCATCAGTCTAAGTGAATTAATCACAGAAACAGAAAACTGATTACCACATGTTTTCATAAGTGAGAACTAAATACTGAACACGCAGAGGCACAAGGATGGGAACAGACACCAGGCACTGCCAAAGAGGGGATGGGAAGAGAGGGAATAGGGCTGCAAAACCACCTATTACCTATCATGCTCACCACTGGAGTTGCCTAAACCTCGCCATCACGCAATGTATTTATATAATAAATCTTCACGCATACCTCCTGTGTCTAAAACAAAAGAAGAAATGACAAAACATGCTTTATGATGTCACACAGCCATGCTACCTCACAAAGTGTGTCCAAGGCCAGAACTTAAACTCTGGAATTGTCCCTCCTCCCAGCTTCACAGCATTCTTAGCAGCAGCCAAGGATGGGCTTAGGTGCTTGAGCCCAAGAATCAGAAGTAGATTCCGGCCTGGGTTCTGCAAGAGGTCGCCAGTAGTGGAGTCTTGAATGCCGGATCGGACCTGGTGAACCTGATTCTGCATGTGGATCCGGGTGAGAAGTTTGTAGTGTCCAAGAAATGGAAATGCACATGAATGTCCTTGTTTGGGTGTTTTATTTCACTTCCATCACTGAGGAATCTGGGCATTAGGAATGGGACCCTTGGTCATTGAAGGTTGAAGCTTAGTCCTGAGACTTTAACAACAGGGGAGCCCATGGTCAGAGTTCAGGGTCTATATGTTCACTCTCTGT